GCATTTTGATCAGTGTTCAGAGGAAGAGGTGCTTTTTCTACCATATTCACAAATGCCGATTCCCCAAACCAACCCTTTTTGCTAGATTTAGATTTCAATATTTTACGGAGAAAGGAAAAACTCCAGGAAAATGGAAAAAGAAGTTGTTGTGCCTGAACTGGTGTACCCCCAGCACCTCTGATCAATGACTGGCATTATTACACTAATAAGTCAGAGGAGGTCTAGGATTAAAAAAAAAAAGATGACTTTGCTTTGGGATTAAGTTGTCTCTAAGAAATAGATAAAAACTACGAGTTAGGCTTTGCATTGAGCTTTATGTTCTCTTATTCCTATTTTTCTGAGCAAGTAAGACATTCTGTATAATTTAAGACTGTCTTCCAGAAGATTTCTCTTCTTTCTATGAGCTGAAAATCTACATCCTGAATTATAGCAGACAATCGCTGTCTTGTGGTCTGTCGAGACTATTGCATTTTGCGTAAATCAGGGCCCAGGTACTATATTTTGAGTTTCTTTTAAAAAATAACATTTGATTTTGTTTATCTCCTGTGAGATGGCTTTATCTTCCACTAAAGGAAGGAAGAGCTGAAACCTCTAGCTACACATCTTTATGCTACAAGACCAGGAGGTTGTATTACAAATGTCTTTGTTTTTTCTAGTTTTACCTCTTAATAAACAGAAGGGCAGAACAAATTGTGGGAGCTTTATCTTTCAGATAAAACTTTACAGGTTGGGTAGATGGCAGACACTAGTTGAAGTGTCCCCTGGAAGATAGGTGGTGGCAGCAGTAACTATCTCCTACCAGGGCAGGTGGGGCCAGGATGTATTGACCCAGTGGGCTTCTGGGAAGAATCTTCAAAACCTCTAGAGCAGTGTTGTCCAACCTTGGCCACTTTAAGATGAGTGGACTTCAACTCCCAGAATTCCCCAGCCAATATGGCTAGCTGGGGACTTCTGGGAGTTGAAGTCCACTCATCTTAAAGTGGCCAAGGTTGGACAACACTGCTCTAGACTTTTACCCTAGAATCCCAGCCATGCCTCTACATGTGTTGCTTTGATTTGGTTAGCAGCCAATCAAAATTCTGTTTCCAACCAGTAACTGTATTGTTCTCCATCCCTCACGTGCAAAGTTTGCCTCAAAATTCCTTTCAAAGAAGTAAAATAAAATACATGTGCACTGCTCACTTCTGTTTCATCTCTCAATGTCTCCATTCTCTTCAAGACTACTGATAACATGGCAGAATGACCGTGTGTGGGCTCCATCATCCAGTGTAGTCCCATGACCATGAGAGTGATTAGAAGGGGGTTAAGAAATTTGGATTTTTCCCTTCAAGCACAAGGAAATGAAACCAAGCTATTTTAACAATTGTTTTCACTGCAGTGAACACCCATTCCCTAATCAATAGAAAATAGAGGGGGAAATTAGCATTCCTCACTTAACAAGCCTCCAGCTACAACGTCATCTGATATGTGAAAAGAGAGGTCATCACTGGATCTGCATACCTTCCTGGAAGTGCTGTGTATGCTGATACTCTTTATTCTACATAAGCTCCATAATGGAAACTACTAGAATCAGAAAAGAAGAATCTATTCTTCTTTCTAAATTACTATTCAAACCTGAAACCAAGTTCCCAAAGGAAACATTTACAGCACAATTCTATGTTTACTTGGAAGTAGGTCTAGTGTGTCCAAGATGTTTCCTTCCTAATAACTAATTTAGTACAAAATTATGACTGCATCCTAATTCTTCCAATTACTGGTGCAAGAAAATAGGTGAAGAGGGCATGACTAGAGAGAATGGGCAGATGCAAAAGATAACTGGGCTCAAGTAGCTTTAACAGCTGTGTACTAGAATAGTTAGTTATATATAAGCTGTACTCATTATACAGAAATGAAATCTTTTCCTCCTCCTTCTCTGCTTATGCAGAGTTGATTTCTTTTCCTGCTCTTTCAAACATCTAAAGTAGAGATGCTATTTAGGAACTATTTTTTTCTGTTTTCTCTTTCATAATAAGAAAACATTTAAAGCCCTTCATGGCATAGGGCCGGGCAATCTGAGGGACCGCTTCTCCTCGATTTCATTTCCCCATCCTACCAGATCCAGCAGAGAGGGCATGTTATGGGTTCCATCACCTAGGAAGCTACATTTGGTGGGCCTTAGGTGGCGGGCCTTTTCTGCTGTGGCACCCATACTGTGGAATCTTCTCCCCCCTGAGGTGAGGTTGGCCTCTTCATTGTTGAGCTTCCGGAGATCCCTTAAGACTTAGTTATGCCAGCAGGCCTGGGGACCCCAGGGGATGGGGGAATTAGTGAGGTGGCTGCCTTACTTTTAACGTCCTTTTATTCTCTGTTCTATTTTGATTTTTATATTTTTAATGTATTTATTGACTGTTTTT